GGGGGGGGGAGGTCAGAAGTTCAAGGTCATCTTCAGCTATTTTATAAATTCCAGGCTGGTCGGAGACACTTGTGACCCTCTCTCAAAAAACAAAATGGGCCAGGGATATGCCTCAGTGGCTAAAGTACTTGTGCAAGCTTGAGAACTGGAGTTCAGATCCCCAGAACCCATAGGAAACCCAGGCGGATGTGGCAGTCCAGTTAAAATCCCTCCGACTCAAGAGACAGAGGCGGGTTCCTGGGACAGGCGAGCTAGCTAAACCAGCTGAATGGGCAAGCTCTGGGTTCAGCCAGAGGCCCTGCATCAGTAAATAAAGCAGACAGTGCTCGAGGAAGGTACCTAATGTCGACCTCTGGCTTCCACATGGACATGCACACACATACATGTGAACATGCACACATGCTCATAAAGCACAGCAAACATGCAAGAGAGGAAGAAAGGAAGGAAGGAAGGAAGGAAGGAAGGAAGGAAGGAAGGAAGGAAGGAAGGAAGGAAGGAAGGAAGGAAGAGAGGAAAGTAGGGCTCAATTCTTTAGACTTTGGCCCACAGGAGCTCAAAAAGGGGCATTTGCCACCACCAAATGAGGATGAAGTGTTGGGGAGTCTCCCAGATCTGAGTTCTGCCTATGATTCCTGGAGCCTGAATAGGCAAGTGGGAACAGCCCAGGACCATCCACCTTGGGAGGTCTGGACTCACAAAATAGTGTGGACTAGTTTAGTGACTTCGAACACCTTCTCTAGGAAACACCAATGGGGGACACCCCACTCTACCAGCTCAGGCCCCACCCTTAGTGCCAAGCTCAAAATTCAAACAGACATCATTTAGACAATCCACCATTTAATGGGAAACAGGGTAAGGAGGAGATATGGGCTGCCCAGCTACTTCTGAGAGATGTGGCTTTAGCCCCTCCCTCCCAGAGTTAAGGGACACCAAAGACTTTAGACCAAGAACACAGAGTTTCACTACCATGGGATAGGGAGGTTTAACAGGGTGAGGCTGGATCAGCAGGAGGAGTGAGGGGGTCGACAAGAGTTGTTAGGGTCTTTTCCGTTGTATTAATCCCATCTGGCTCCACTGAGGGTTCTGGGAACTTGGGAATATAGCGATGAATCCAGGACACGTAGCTCATCACTCGGGTGTATACACCAGGGAAGTCGGGAAGTCCACAGCCTCTGCCCCAGCTGACCACACCCACCTGGACCCAGGAGCAGTTCCACCTGCATACCAGAGGGCCCCCGGAGTCACTCTGTGGGAAAAGGCAAGAGTCAGCACTCCAGGCATCCCATCATGCCAGGGTGGGTGGGCCCCAGTGTGCTGGGTCAGGAAGAGACAGAGGAGAGAGGATAGTCAGGCCATCACCTGGCAGGAGTCGTGGCCCTTCATCCCAGCACAAAGCATGTCATCTTTGATCATCCTGATGTTGCTGTTCCAGGAAGAATTGGTGTGGTACTTGCGCTCACAATCACTGTTTCTCACAATGGGGACTGTGACTTCCCTCAGGTGATAGGGTGGGGGCAGCGGCACTGTGGGGAGAAGCCAGTGAGAACCAAAGCTGGGGGCTCTGCCTCTCCCCACCAGTGCTGACAATGGCCATGAGGTCTTCCCGGTACCCACTGGAGTTCTCGATGACACCCCAGCCAGCCACCCAGCAGGTCTTCCTGGGGGAGACCCTCTGGGAAGCAGCTGGGAGGGAGACAGGGCGGACATGTTCAGACAGCATGACTGGGGTGTCCAGTTTCAGCAGAGCAATGTCTGCACCCCCTTGGGCAGACAGCCTCTCACTGAACTTGGGGTGGCGGATGATCCTGGCCACTTTTGTCAGCCGGTCATTTTCATAGAGCCTCAGCTGTCCAACTTGGACCCTAAAGCCGCAAGCTCCCAGTTGTTTCCTGAAAGACAGGACAATGAGCCCCTCAGAGAGGCTGAAGGCTAGGGAAATGAATCTCAGAACATACACAGGGATCAGGAGGGTCCCAGAAATCCTACCTCCCACCAGGAACCCTGCCCACAAAGCACCACCCACCTCCCAACACCCATCTGCTCAAAGCCAAGGGAATAGACGACCCTACTCACGGCTGTACGCAGTGGGCAGCAGTCAGCACCCACTGGGGGTGGATGAGGGAGCCCCCACAGATGTGTTCCCATTTACTGTACTTTATGTTGTAGAACCTCAGGCTGACCTGCCATGGGAACCGGCTGGCTGAGACAGGGCAGCCCCCGACAATGCCTACCAACTCCTGTCCTGAGCCTAGGTCTGGGGAAGCAAGGAGGGGGGTCAGACACCAGGCAGAGGTTTCCAAGGCTCAGGAGTCGGTGAGATTCCTGGCAAACTGACAGTCTGACATAACCCCAGAGGATCTGGAGCGGGAATCGGAGCCTGGGACAGCATAAGGGCTCGGGTTAGGACTCACCAGGAGTAACAGGCATTGCGCTCCCCAGACAGAGGAGGGTGAGGAACAGCAGCCACGGCATCCCAGAACCACAGAGATCTCTGATCCCAAACATCGGCTTCTGCAGCCAGGAGACCTGAGGGCAGAGGTGCTAATAGATAGTCAAGCTATACTCCACTCTCTGTCTTCCCTTGAGGCTCCCCAGGGCCCCATTTATCTTTCTTCCACAGGATGTGGGCATAGAATGCAACATCTGTACTCCAGCGGTGCATGTTGTGGCCACACATGTCTTTCATTGGGGCTGATATGAAGTGACCGTCAGCGCAAGTTCACCACCTCCGGGGCAGGCAAGGTGGGCTGTGGGGGTATGCCAAGCTTGACAGCATGCCCTGGAGTAGGTGGGTCAGACTGCAGACTGGATATTTGAAAAGACAAAAACGAGATGGAGAGACTGACGTGATCTCTTTCTGTCCTTAGCTAGAGTCATCCATCACCCCTCCACCCACAGAAGCCTGGCACCGGGAGCTGATGACACCCCAGTATATGAGCTGCACGTTCAAAGGTCTTACAGGAGCATTCTGACGGACATGGGGGAGTCCTCCAAGCACAGCAGAATTGTTGGGTCAGAGCACAAAGCTGGGTCCAAGGAGACATGGCCACCCCCTGTGGTGACATGCATATGGAAGTGTGGAAGAAAGAGGCCAAGCTGTTGCTGTTACTTTCTGGGGGTCTCCTAGCCAGGCATGGAGGTCCATACCCCAGTTGCCCACTGCTGTAAGATCCTAAACACACCAAGTGGTAGTGGCGCATGCCTTTAATCCCAGCACACGAGAGGCAGAAGCAGGCGGATCTCTGTGAGTTTGAGGCCAGCCTGGTCCACAAAGCCAGTTCCAGGACAGGCACAAAAACTACACAGAAAAACCCTGTCTTGGAAAAAAAGATCCTAAACACTACAGACTTCTAGTGTCTCTGGCTCCCAGAACAACTGGGTCCTTGCCAGTGGCTGAACCAGTTCATGAGAATATCCAGGCTTGGAGAAGACGCAGAGAAGCCCTTCTTTACCAAGACCTTAGGGAAAACCCACAAAGTCAGAAGGAATTCAGGCCTATGCTCTCAAATCATGATAGGCATCCCCTGAGCCTGTCTGCCTCCTCTGTTAGGGCCCTTGGACTCCAAGACTTCTTCAAGACCACGATACGTCTATGGAGCCACAAGCAGCAGATAGATGGTCCCCGGGGAGAGTCATCCTTATTTCCTCACTCCTGCAATCGTTTCTGTGCTGGCTGAAGACGGCCTGACGATGCTATCAGAAACATCTGAGGCTTAGACATCTGAGTGTGTGGGCGCTGAGGCAGGCCAGGTGACATGAGAGGTGGCATCCTGATGCGGGAGCCAAGAGCAGCGTGTGTCCTGATGCTATCTATAGGAATTGAGGGGCTCTGTGTGTTCAGTGAGGAGGGCGACCCTTGCTGTGGGTTAAACTCTGCCCCCAAATCTACCAGGTCTTCATACCATGACCAAATTTGGAGAAGAGGGTCTCCTATTGATGATGAAGGGGAAGTGAGTTCTTTAGGGTAGACTCAGACTGACTGATCAGGGTCCTGATGAGGTCACATCAGGAAGAGGCACCTCAGCAGGAGGACATGGAGAGAAGGTGATGTCTTTGGCCTAGGACCCCAGGGGTAGTCAGCTCTGCTCACAGCTCTATCTTGGCACCCGGTGTTGTTGGCTAAAGGAATAAATTTCCAGTGTGAGTATGTACTCACTCATAAGTGGATACTAGATATAAAGCAAAGAATAATCAGACTGCAACCCACAGAACCAGGGAGGCTATACAGCAGTGGGGTACCCTAGGATAACTGTGGCTTATAATAAGTTTTGGTTTTACTCAATTACTGGGCAAGCCTCAATGAAACATTTCACTACTAGGATAAGAATTTGTACTGTATCAAGCTGATAATAAATAAATGAATGAATAAATAAATAAATAAATGGAAAAATTTCCAGTATGAGCCATTGTCTAGGTCCTTTCTTGGTCCCCCAAGCTGAGTGGGCAGGCCCTGTTGGTCCTTGGCATCACAAAGGCATGGAAGCACTTAGAGAAGAGGGCCTATAATGAGCAAGCACTCTCAAAAAGGACTCAGATTGCCAGGCAGTGGTGGCGCACGCCTTTAATCCCAGCACTCGGGAGGCAGAGGCAGGCGGATCTCTGTGAATTCGAGGCCAGCCTGGTCTCCAAAGGGAGTTCCAGGAAAGGCGCAAAGCTACACAGAGAAACTCTGTCTTGAAAAACCAAAAAAAAAAAAGGACTCAGATGGACTTGGGAGGTGTGTTTGTTCATTTCTGAGAGAGGGCCTTGCTGTGTAACCCACACTGGCCTTGGAATCTAGGTCAACCTCCTGCCTCAGCCTCCCAAACAATGTGCCACCATGCCCTGTTTTTTAAATGTTTTTCTCTCCTTTCTCTCGATCTCTGAGATTCCCAAGCAGTTCCTGGTCAAGAGTGAAACTCCTCAGCCAGGCAGAAGTGGCACACACCTTTAATCCTAGCACTCAGGAGACAGAGGCAGGGGAATCTCTGAGTTCGAGGCCAACCTGGTTTGCAGAGTGAGTTCCAGGACAGCCAGGGCTATGTAGAGAAACCCTGTCTTGAAAAGCCAAAAACAAACAAACAAACAAAGAACCCAGAATCTCACTCTATAGCTTGGTCTGGCCTGAAATTTACTATGTAGACCAGGCTAGTCTCAGTCCTACGGAATCCTCCTGCCTCTGCTTCCTGCGTGCTGGAATTATAGGCATGTGCCTCCACACCCACCTGGATTCTGTCTTGAAGACCTCAGGGCCTAACCAAAGCTTACCTCTGCCCCATACTCAGGGTTGCAACAGGAAATTGGACAAGAGCAACAGTGAGCAGTTACCAAACTCTGTCTTGGACCACAGGTCCAGTTTGCATCACTGCTGAACCAGGAACGCCACTTACCCTGCTGGATAGCCAAATGCCAAATGGGGAATATTAGAGATCGGCTAGGAGAAAGATGGGTGCCATATATTAGCCAGACCTTCCAGAACATCTTCCCATGTGCTGGCAGGTGACCCTGGTCCCTGTTTCTGACCACTGAAGCCACATGGAATCACAAGCTTTCCTCCAGGGACACTCCTCAATGCTGTAGCCAGATTAGGTCTGTACCCTGTCATACAAATCACTGTGACCATAGATAATGATGCTGGACTTCATATTCCCGGAGGACCGCATCACCCCTGATGGATCCAGAGCCATCTCCCACCCAAGGCAGTCAATCTTTTTATTGGACCTTGGACAGTAAAGGACTGACCATAGCCCTCGGGGAGAATACCCCTCTATACTACCATGTGTATCTGTGCCTGCCACAGGACCTGTGAAGTCAAGGAAACTAAGCCAACATCTCATGGTCGTAAGACTCCACTGTTCATCCAGGTATGGTGATGTAGGACTTTTATCTCAGCATTCGGGAAGCAGAGGCAGGCAGGTCTCTATGAATTAGAGGCCAACCTGATCTACATAAGGAGCTCCATGCCAGGCCAGGTTATATAATAAGATCCTATCTAAAAATAAATAAAATAAAAAATTTCATAATTTATCCATGACTGGGTCTGTGCTGGTTTGTGCTAGTGCCAATGTGGCTGACTCATACTTCTTACATATAGGGATTATAACAGGAATTTATCTAAGCTACATATTGGGATATATGCCTATAAACCTGGCATTTGGGAGGCTGAGAGAGCTTGATTGCTTTCTTCTTTCTTTCCTTTTCTTTTTTCTTTTTTCCTTTCCCCAGACAGGGTTTTTCTGTGTAGCCCGGGCTGTCCTGGAACTCACTCTGTAAACCAGGCTCACCTCGAACTCAAAGATCCACCTGCTTCTGCCTCCTGAGTGCTAGGATTAAAGGTGTGGGCCACCATGGTTTTAATCAGGCTGAGCCTGATTTCTATGAGTTTGCATAGTGACCTCCAGGCCTGCCAGAGCTGTATCATATGACAAAAAAGAAAGAGAGAGAGAGAGAGAGAGAGAGAGAGAGAGAGAGAGAGAGAGAGAGAGAGAAAAGAAGAA